GGGGGGCGCCTCCCTGCGCCGCGACTTGTCCCTGATCTGTGCCCCTGAGGCCTGCGGCATCCCCTTCTCCCCGCCGCGACCCCCCTGACCCCCGGTCCTCACACTGGGTTTGGGATCCCGAAACCCTTGAACAAAATGGCGAAACCTAATATGGCCGTTCCGGAGTGATTGACGCCCAAATAACATTCTTGTTCTGTTTCTTTTTCTATGTGTGTTTCTTTTTTCTTTTTTTTTTTTTGGTTTGCTTTTCAGACCGAGTGTGTCAGCAGCCAGGACTTTCTCTCTGGGTCCCCTTCCAAAACGCAGCCACCGCGGTCACCAACCTCTACAAAGGTAAAGATAACCTTGCTGCATTGCCGATTCAGGGAAGGGCCGCTTGCGTCAGGGTGTCTCCCCTGCGTTCCAAGTGTGTTTTCTGCTCCCCAGCCCAGCTGCTAACCTTGAATACCTTGCAACTTGAGAATCCCGGCGGTGCTCTAGCTAGATCCACCGGAGGCAGTTTTGACACCCCCGGGGACAGATGGCAACGCCTGGGGACGGTTTTGGTTGTCTTCTCCTAGAGGGGGCTGTTGTTGGCACCCAGTGGATGGAGGTTGCTGAAGGTCCTGCAGTGCCCAAGATAACACCCCCGGCCCCCTCAGCGAAGAATTATCCTGTCTCTGAAGTCAGTAGTGCTCAGGTTGGGAAGCCTTGAGCTGGGAGACGCTGAGCCTTGCTTCCCAGTGGAAAAGACGTTGAGGGAAGAAACGAGTTGATGTTTTTTGTACTACCGTCGGAGGTGGGACGAACTGTATGTAAAAAATTCTTGAGTTAGGCATTTGAGAGCGTGGCAGTGTATGTAGTTTTGAAGTGCTTGAAAGCTTGCTAATCGGTCATCTGCGTGCATGTTAACGTGCTGCTCTTTTCTAGCATTTCATCAAGTGTTTTCTGTCAAAACGATCCTATGTCTGATTATTATGAGTTGCTGGCAGGAATTCTGTTGAGGGTTTTGAGTTGATAGATTTGTGTTTTATGGTGGTTCCTTTCTGGAGTTAATCCACCCTTTGTGATGACATGAAGATATGTAAGTAAACGTTCTTGCCCATTGTGCTTTCTTGGTAACGGTGGGTTTAGATTTTGTGCCTTACTGATTTTGAAGATTGAGAAATTTGGGGTTGATTTTTTTGTTTGTTTGTTTTTGGCAAGGTTTTTATGGAAAAAGGATTATGACTTTGTTAATCTTAAGAAAAACGTAATTAAATGCTTTCAAACTTTTAAGAGTGGCTCAGAACAGTAATGGAATTTTGTGCATTTCAAAAATACCGGTATAGGTTGAAACGGGCTATGAAGCTGCTGCGTGACTCTCAAGTTTTAATTTTTGTGTAAGAATGTGCAAATGGCCGCTGCATCTTGTAGGAAAAATATTTCTTATTGTGAGATTTCTTGAGTAGACTACAGTTTTTTGGGACAGTAATTTGAGAACTGGTAACAAAGTGGTGAAAAGGAACGCTAACTTTAGGGAATGAGGAACTATAATGCTACTAGTCCAGCCTTACTGAAAAAAGGGAACATGGTTAAATAGTGCCCCAGTGGTTGGCTTTGATTTTATATAGCTGTTTCTTAAATTGTGACTGAGTAAATTGCTTCAACATCTGTAGTGCTTGACGGTCTTGAACATTTTGGAATGGCTCTTGGTTTTGTCCAAAAAGGGAATTTTGAAATAATACTTAATTTAAAAAAAAGTTTCTTGGAGTGTAATTTACATACGGTAAAATCACCGTTTTAGAATGTGTACTTCGATTTTTTTTTTTTAACAAGTAGAATATATTTGTCACCCCCGCTCCAGCCCCTGGCAGTCACTGATTTGATTACTATTTTTTCTTCTCCATCATGTCCTAAATAGAACCGTGCAGTCCTTGTAGCCTATTGTGTCTGGCTTGTTCCACTTACTATGATAAGATTCACCCATCGAGTTCGCATTGCAGGTGTGCATAGTTCAGTGCCTTTTAATTGGCGAGTATTGCTCTGTGGTGTGGCAGTACCATGATTTATTCTTTTGCTTTTGTTGGTATTGCTTTGTTCTTGAAGGGGAAGGCAACACATTTTTAGTGTTTTTATGTGCCAGGTTCTCAGCCTACGCCATATAAAATGTGAGTGTCCTCTGACTTTGGTGCTGTTGGGTGCTTGTAGAATGTGTCCTTTTAGGACTAAGCTAGCAGTTTTCTTTAGTGGTAACTTTTCGTGTAAGAAGATGGATTCAGCATTTGAACTCTGAAATAATCCTTAATTTGATTGCTTCATTTTAAAATGTTTACAGTTTGCTAGTTTTCTTGCTCAGAAAACTTAATGAGGAACATTTATTTTTAGAAAACATCATATATGATTCTTGGATTATCGTAAATGCTATATTGTCAGTCTGAACTAGTTTTATTTTGTACCTTGTTCCTGTACAATGAAAACACATCCTTTGCCTAATAGAAATGGTAAGTTGTGTCTTGTGGAATTTGATAGTATAATAACGTTTTCTTATTTGATTCAAGGAGTGTGTGAGTAATACTGTGGATAGTCTCACTTTTTCTTCTTTTCAGGGTGTGGTCTTTGGAGAACAGGCATACAGCTGTAGGAATAATTGGTTGCCTTAAATAGAACCAATAAAATTAGCAAGCTAGTGTCACAAGTGCATACAGCAGTAAGTAGTACTAAATTTAAATGATATTGGTTATAGTTCTGATTAAATATTTAAATATAATTTAAGGGGGGAAAATTTGGTGGCTACTTCTAAGTGGGCAGCAGGCAGCATTCCAGTATTTTGTGTAATTAAGCACTTAATCTGACAAGGTAAAAATGGGTTATTTTGCAGCCTGGGGACAATTTGGCACTCCTACCAGCTTCTTGATAACTACCAAGAAGTTCACGAGGTTTTTATCTCAATCCCGACCTTCTTAATGAAGGTCGGGATTGAGATAAATACCCAGCAGATGGCCCCTTTTAGTTGTCAGTGGGCTTTTGAGAAGTTGAAAATTCGGTTAATTGGTTTTGTTGGAATGTGGCTAGAAGGATTTGGAAGATAATGTAAATGTGAGTTGAACTTGTCCCTTCAGCAAGGACAGAATTCAATAAAATGGAGTGCGTGGTTTCTTCTGCTGTAGATAGCAGGGTCAGACTTTTCTTCCCCTTTTTGATAAAGGAAGCCAAAATCCTGATTGCTGGTTTTTAATTTGATAAATGTAAAGAGGATGGTGTTTTTTCAATATTCAGTAGTATTCTTAGATCAATATAGTTTGTGATACCTGAAACTAAAGAAGAGGAGTAAAAAATCATTTTAATCTAGCTAGGGTTGATGTTTACCTGGGAAATACTTGGCCAAGCGTGCCTGTGTTTGCTGCTTACATTGGAGATCCCACTTTCCAGCAACCTGTGTGAGCCCGTGTTTGATTGTGCCCCATAGAGCCATTTCTCTAATTGTTCTTTCTCAGCTTTTCATGCTTTTCATGCTTTCTTCTTTGCTTGTTTTCTTTGCCTCCACATTTTGAAACTGCATTTGTAGCATTAGTTGCATGCAGTCTTGGATATTGCTGAAAGATGTTTCTGGTTATCTTGAACAGCATTTCCCTGAGCATCTGCAGCCTAGCAGTGCTTGCAGAGGGCTAGTGTCATTGTGAGTTGGAGTCTACTGCCACGTTGCCTGAGTTCAGATCTTGACTCTGTTACTTCTTACCTTTATGGTCCTGGGGACTGTGAAGCCAGGTGTTACTTCACCATTGTGCTCCTTGACTTAACTTATATAGGGATAACTACCACAGATTCTAGTACAAGCTCTTAGCTTTGTGCCTGGCATAGTGAGTGCTCTGGCATTCATTGTGTTGGTCAAGTTTTAAGTATTTTTTGGATTTTTCTCAATGTGGGCAGGGCTTAAAACGAAGGGAAGTAATAATAGTTTATTTTCTTTTCTTTTTTCCTTGTGTTGGAATAAACTCTGGTGTGTACTTCTTTGTTCGTCTTTTTTCCCTAAATGGAGTAAATGTAAGTAGAATTGACAGGAAAAATAGTCTGATGCCCTTAAGTCCTGATTTTTGATACATCTTGATGCCAAACCCTCTTTATATGTCTTACTTCATTGTGGCCATTTTGGACTCGTGAACTAAAGGAGAACTGAGCATAACTGTAAATGTATGGGCCAAGTGGCAGGTGACTTGGAAACAAATGGCCAGAAATCATATTTTACCTGGAGACTGGTGGAGATGGTTTGTGACTCACTTGGCTGCAAAAAATTATTACTGAGTTTGAGACTTTGTTCAGAATACCTTAGTGTAGATTATAGTGAGAAACCCTGAGCATTATACTTTTCATACCTGTAATCCCAGCACTTTGGGAGGCTGAGGCAGGAGGATTGCTTGGGGGAATGTAGTGAGATCCCATGTCTTAAAACTTTTTTTTTAATTTAAATATAATTTAAGGGGGGAAAATTTTTAATTTAAAAAAATTTTTAGCTTTGTTAGAAGCAGTAGCCTCAGTTATTCGTAATAGTGTTTGTAGATTGTAGATTTTTATAGAAGACTGCTTTTTTTGTGTGTAGCTCTTATTTTTTTCCTTTTTTTTTTTTTTGAGACAAAGTCTCGCTCTTGTCCCCCAGATTGGAGTGCAATGGCGTGATCTCGGCTCACTGCAATCTCTGCCTCCCAGGTTCAAGCGATTCTCCTGCCTCAGCCTCCCGAGTAATTGGGATTACAGGTGCCTGCCACCACACCAGGCTAATTTTTCTTTTTCTTTTTTTTTTTTTTGAGACAGAGTCCTGCTCTGTTGCCCAGGCTGGAGTGCAGTGGCGCGATCTCTGTGCACTGCAAGCTCCGCCTCCCGGGTTCATGCCATTCTCCTGCCTCAGCCTCCCAAGTAGCTGGGACTACAGGTGCCCGACGCCACGCCCTGTTTTTTGTATTTTTAGTAGAGATGGGGTTTCACTGTGTTAGCCAGCATGGTCTTGATCTCCTACCTCGTTATCCACCTGCCTTGGCCTCCCAAAGTGCTGGGATTACAGGTGTGAGCCACCACGCCTGGCCTAATTTTTGTATTTTTAGTAGAGATGAGGTTTCACCGGGTTGGGACAGGCTGGTCTCGAACTCCTGACCTCAGGTGATCCGCCCGCCTTGGCCTCCCAAAATGCTGGGATTACGGGCGTGAGCCACCGCGCCTGGTTCCTTTTCCTTTCTTTTCTTTTCTTTTTTCTTTTCTTTTTTTTTGGAGACAGGGTCTCATTCTGTCACCCAGGTGGGAGTGCAGTTGTGCTGTCTTGGCTCACTGCAACCTCCATCTTCCAGGGTCAAGTGATCCTCCCACCTCAGCCACGGAATAGCTGG